TTGCTACAGTAAAAAGCTCTCACAAACAGTCACATCTAACTTTTTTACTACAGTGAAAAGCTCTCACATAAAATCACATCTCAACTCGAATTCTAAACTCGAATCAGTGAAATGAACGAGGCCTAAGCTTTTCATATTAGCCTATTTTCTACTATTTTTGTAAAATATACTAGTGAACTAGCTATTGGATATTACAGAGTGTTATATAATATTGGTCAGTGTTGTAAGAATCACAATGGGCCCAGTGTGTTTTAATTCGTTTTAGTTTGTTGATTTGAGTTTTTAATTTAATTTGAAATGTGATTTTAATGAGATTTTTTATTATAGCAAAAAAATAAGATGTGACTATCTCTGAGAGTTTTTAACTGTAGCTGTCACGTCTCAGGGCAGGGGTCGGTGACGTGAAGCTCGATTAGGGGTTAAACGCATGATAATAAAGGAAATTCCCAACGAGCCCCACACTAAATTAAAATAAATTACAGGGGAGAGACTAAAAACTCAAGCCTATCCACATGATCTTTCAGTATCGTACATACATGACACGTGTAAATAAAACATTACAGATATCAATCATAGTCTAGAAGTCCAAATATAAGAGTTTACAGAATTTACAATTCTTACATATATCTAAGAGGATGAACACAATCCTCACTTAATCGAACGGAAGCAAATAATCCAACTACTCCGCGCCGCTTTTAGAATTTCCTGGGAAGGGTTTAATATTTATAAAACAATAAAACGTGAGCGAAAAGCCTAGTAGGATATAATTTGAAATAACTTTATAAATAAATGAATAAATAAATAAGTGAGTAAATAAATAAATGAATGGATAAATAAATAAAATATGACATTCAGTCCCAACACAACAGCCGGAACCTCACATCATTTTTCTCAAAAGAAATATATCTGAAAATATATGTATTACAGGCATCAGCAAGTAATTTATACTATGATAAATTACTTACACAACCATGTGCACAAGCCATATCACCCCCGGGTCGGGTTTCGGGTTTTGCCCCCAATGATGCATTCTCCACATCCTATCTTACCCATCAGGCAGTTTACCGATTCGCAAGATCTCTTATCTTACGAAATCATTCATTAAACTTTCTAAAATCGTTCATTATAATCTCATGAACTACAATAAGTCATGCGTCCCATGAACTACAACAAGCCATGGTCCCATGTACTACAACAAGCCATGGGTTTTAAATACTTTTCTTTCGCAAACAAGCCATTTTCTTTAAAACATTTGCAAGGCCAAAACTCTTTTAAAATCAGGCTCACAAAGAAAAAGGGTAAGAAATCCTACCTCACAATACCAAACCTGTGACTAGCGTTGCTCTAGTCCGGCGTTTGCTTCCTCGAAGCCTTTCAATCCGAGCCCTCAGGTAGCAATCACAAAACAACACTTTAGGATCAAACTCTCATTCCTAAAGCAACTCAATCTCAATTATACCATTTGATTTCATATTAGTGTACCATAATTCAATTACCGGTTCTATAAACCATTTCATGTTTTAAATTATCATTCTAAGGGTTTTCAATCTCAAAACATGGATTAAAGATGCTAATCCATCTACTCTAGGTCCCCAAATGAAGCTAATTTGGGTCCTCCACGAAAACTAAGGCCAAAACAACATTTTCAGGCAAAACAGGGTCAAACCCCGTGTACACCGGTCGACCGGTGATAGAGCAGTGCAACACCACCGGTGGTGTGCAATTCGGTCGACCGAACAGGTCGACCGGTGAGGCCAATGCAATCCGGTCGACCGGTGAAGAACACCAGTGCGAGAAAACTCGTAAATTCAGTTTGAAAACTTGCAAATCCAGTCCCAAAATCAAAATATCTCAAGGGAAGACCACTAGAACCGGGTTCTAGGTACTAAATCAAGTCTAAAGAACTCAAGATCTCCAATTTCTATCATGGTTTTACTCAAAATCCATAAAAATCTATTTCGAACTAAAAATAAGTTTTTAAATCCGAAAATCCGAGATTCAAGAGAAGTTTTTTCAGAAATTGTACCTCGAATCCTTCTCTTGGCGTTGAAAACTTATTGAAATTCCTCTTTGGTTTGAAATCCAGTCGATTTGAGACAAAATGGAAAGAGAGAGAGAACGAAGGAGAGTGAAGAGAGAGAATGAGAGAGTGAGAGTGAGAGAGAGAGAGGGTGTATGCACGGAAAGGAAAAGAAAAGGAAATGAAGGGAAAAGGAAAGAAAAAGAAAAAAGAAAAAGAAAATGGACAAGTGTCACATATTTAAAATAACAGTCCAGAAATTCTCATATACACTTCTGGGTAAAAATATAAATACTGAGAATATTTAAATACCTTAGAATTATTTAAATTTACACGTCAGAAAGATTTATTAATCAATAATCAATTAATTAAATCATATTAGGCACACTAATAAATCTCAATTACCTTAATTAATCTCATTTAATTCTTCGGGGTGTTACAGTAACAAAACTCAAATTTTAAACTCATATCAGTAAAATGAATATTGTCAATATATACACTAGAGAGAGAAAGAGAGAAGACACATTATGTGTTCTATTTACTTTTTTAAAAGCTTCTATTTATTTTAATGATTTACTATAAATATGTTAATTGTTTCATCCTCTCTTATTAATTACATAAGATAATATTTTAGTAGTTATTTTAGTAAGATTTCTATTTTAAGTTATGCAAGCACTAGAAAAAGTTTGGTTTGGTTCTCGCTAGAGCATCTAATAGAAAAGAAAATAATATAAAAAGAGTTAATTATATTCATTCTTACACATCATTTTTCTTTCTAATTTCATTATCTTTCTCACTATATTATTTTATAGTTCAACAAACGTGCCCTTAATCAAAAGGTGTAAGAGACATTTCCTAAAAATGACTTCAAAATATAGAATGATGTTTTTAAATCGTTATTACTACTATATTCATGGATGCGGGGCACGAATGATAAGAAGTTAGTCATGTCCTACAATTCTTGATCATAAGGGGGAAAGAAAAAAAAAAAAGTAAATGGACGATCTTTTAAAATGATAAAACAAGTAGTAACTGTTGTCCAACTATTCATATCTCGTTAAAGGAATGAAGCAAAGGTATTTAAAATATACATTATAAGAAAAATAAAATACAGGAGATCGAAATGGTTTTTTCCTTTTCAATAATTTGGCTCCGTCACAATTCAAATAACAACTCAAATTTTTTATTAGTGTGTTTTCTTTTATAAAATTTAAATTTAATTTTTTTATTATAACATTTTTTCTCATATAAATTTACTTTTCAATTTATGTTTTCAACTTTTTTGCTATGAGAGTTGATTTTCTCTCATATAAGAAATCAACTCATTCACAGGATATTTTAACTAGTTGTTTTAAGGATCAAATTTTCACGAAGAAAACGTGGTGTCGTTTTCACATTCAAGCAGAGTTTGAAGTGATGACGACATGTCGTTTTTTATCTTTATTTTTATTTTTAATTTACTTTTAGTTTTTTTTTTGGAATGTTTTTTTCACTTTAATTTTTTATGTGTTTTTTAAAAATATATTTTTCCTATGAAAGTAATTTTTTTTTTGCATGTATTCTTATTTTATTTTTTATCAATAGTTAAAATAATTTTTTTTAACTGTGGTTCTACTTAATTATTTTTTATATAATTCTTATCATATCAAATGTTATTTTTATACATATTTTTTAAAAATAAATTTAAAAATCTTTCAATAATTTTATAAATAAATTTTTTATTATTCCGTAAATAATAAACTGAATAAAACTAGTAAAACTGAAAAGATAAAGTCGTTTTGAGCAATAAGCATACTGTCATCATTAAAAAGGACATGCCGTTTGACAGACAAGCAGAGTGTTGGCATGAAAATTGAAAACGGGTATGTCGAACAAAAACTCAATAAAAACGACACATCGTTTTTTTTCTCTCAGAAACGGACGGAACGGCAGCAAGCTTTAACGGTATGTCGTTTCTGTACGGAATCAGGAAAAAAATAGGAAAAAAGAACCCAGCCCTAATAGCCTATCGTTATTGTCTAAAGCCCTCGTTATACTTGTGCCATTTTCGTCCGTCCCTCTGCTTCTTCTTCTTCTTCTTCAGGTAACACCTTTTTAATCCTTTATCCGAGAACAATCTCTCTTCTTTCCACCTGTAATCTCATGCCTTTTCTTTATTTTTTATTTTTTTTTATTTCTGTGATTCAATGTAATGCTGAACTTTTCCCCTATTTTTTTCGATTCTCAATTCGCAATAATTATTTCCGAAAGTGTGCATTTCTATCCTTTCAATTCTATGGTTTTGTTTGCTTCCAATGAATTCTCGTTTGAGAAATAAAAGAAGTTTGAAATCTCGTTCACACACACACACACATGTATGTATATATATATTGTTTTTTTTTTTCTTTCGGAGCTAATTTGCCAAGCCAGAAACAGACTCTTGTGACTGTTGTTGCTCCTGTTTCTGTGTTATCGTTATTACTTAGCTTAGAGATTTTTCTTTTGGGTCTCTGAAGTTTGTAGTAATGCTGGACCTTTGATTTACCTTAAACTTGATTCGAAGCATATCTTTGTTCGTATGCTGTTTTCAACATCTAATTTGTTGTTGTTGTTGTTGGTTTTTTTTTTTTTTTTTTTTGGAACAAATTGATGGGTTATTGAGTATTGTGAACAAAAATATAATATGTTTTTATGGCTGTTGTATGATCCCGATTGAACTTATGTATAGTGTGCCTTTTTATTTATTGAACTTTGGACCCTTTTTTTAATTATTTTTTATTTTTGATAGGTTTGCTTCCTCTTTCTGGGTATTGATAAAGTATCCTTTATTAAAAGGTTAGGAAGGGAGTTGAAGTTGTGTTAAGTTCTGGTAGATGGCAACTAGATCCGACCAAGATGTCGATGATGATTTTAGCGAAATCTATAAGGAGTACACTGGACCTCTAGGATCTAAAGCCTCCAATGCACAAGATAAGGCAACAACAAACAAAAGGTCTCATGTAGGTTCTGATGAGGAAGAGGAAGCTCCTGATCCCAATGCTGTCCCCACTGATTTTACTAGCCGAGAAGCGAAGGTTTGGGAAGCAAAGTCGAAAGCTACCGAGAGGAATTGGAAGAAGAGGAAGGAAGAAGAAATGATCTGTAAAATTTGTGGAGAATCAGGTCACTTTACGCAGGTAATTTTTGAATGATTTATTGGTTGTATTATGTGTTGATGTTAGACGAGGAGCAGCTAATATTTGTCTCAAATTTTAGGGTTGCCCTTCAACTCTTGGAGCAAATCGCAAGTCTCAAGATTTCTTTGAAAGGGTACCTGCAAGAGACAAGCATGTAAGAGCACTTTTCACAGAGAAAGTGATACATAAGATTGAAAGAGACATTGGCTGCAAATTTAAGATGGATGAGAAGTTTATTATTGTCAGTGGCAAGGATAGGTTAATTTTGGCCAAAGGCGTAGACGCTGTTCGCAAAGTGATAGAGGAAGGTGGTGATCATAGAGGTTCATCTAGTTCTCATGTCGCGAGATCTAGGTCACCTGAGCGAAGTCCCGTTGGCTCAAGGTTTCCGCGCTCTGACTCTCTAAGGTCTCATTCTGGTCCCCGTGGTGCACCTCTGTTTGAACAGAGATTTCACAGGCAAGAGAAGCTTGTGGAAGACCGTATACGTGATAATCTGCCGAAATTTTCAAGGGATTCTTCACAAGGTAGGGAAAGCATAGGATACCTTTACGGCGTGCATAGAAAGCTGGTAATCCCATGTTTATAGCTTCTTAGGTTCCTGCAGACTTTCCAATGCCTTGTAAACCTTGTTTCTTTCTGAATTGTTAAATGATGCTGCTCTTTGCTTATCATTTGTTTGCAGCAAGAGGTAAGTTCTTATGTTCAAGCATTATGTGTACGGTTCTGAAAGTTAGAAGTAACTTTCGTGAGTGCGTCTGAATTGATCGGGTTGTCTCCAAAATTTACTGAAAGCCTTTCCGGACTTTTTGCCTCAGATGGTTTCACTGTGAATTTAAGATAGTATGTTGAGTTAAGCTACAAACTAGGTTAGCATCTTGAATCGAGTGCTTAATATACTCTTCATTTCGTGAAGCTTATGGTAAGGATGGAGCTAGGGGCCGTTCAAGTCATTCAAAATCTCCGGCAAACCCCCCTTACAACACATATAGCTCATATGATGGTCATAGTCAAACCATTGGTTCTTATAGAAGTGATGGATTTGATTCTGAGAGGAGAGGACCTGACATGCAATCTGGTTCTCAGTTTGATCATCCTGCGTTCCCTAAGACATTAGAGGAGTTAGAGATGGAGTTTAAAAGGGAGGCAACGGAACTTGGAAGAATTCGGGACAAGGAAGAAGATGCAGAAAATTACAAGCATCGTGAGGTATGAAGTAATTTGTAATGTGCTAGGACTTCTTTAACTTTAAAATGCATTTGTTTAGTCCTGAAATTTTTTCATCACATTGTAAACCTTTTATTTGTTTTTAACATGGGAAGCCAAAGGAAAGAGAAAACAAGTAGACATATTAATTGAAAGACACAAGGCCATTGCCCAGTTTTATGCTCTAAAAATTCCAAAAAAAAAAAAAAAAAGAAGAAAAAGAAGAAGAAGAAGCAATCACCAAGTATGGCCTCAGATAATTACTGTCTAAACTATTAAGAAGGCTTAACTTTTGGTGAAGCAATCAGGCTCGCCGCGCGCTATTTCATATTGTTCTGAAGTATATCATCAGTTGCCTTGCGCAATTTGAGTGGGCGAAAACATGTTTTTAAAACACCCCTCACTGTTGTAATTTAATAGTTTGCAAGTTTGTGATTTCTGACTTAATGGTTCTACGGGTATAAGGCTATAAGGGAGATAAGAGAAAACCACATGAAGAAACTGGCCATGTTGAGGGATATGCATGCAAAACAGTGGGAAGAATTTCTTCAATCTGATGCCCAGAGGCGTCAGCAGCAGCAGCAGCAGCAGCAGCAACAACAACAACACCAACAACAAGCACGTCAGCAAATTTCTACTTCAGGTTATGGTCGTTATAAACAGCAAGGTTTCTCCAACTATGATGGCTCCCCAGCTAATCCCCGTTATACGGGGGCCAATTTAGTGGACTCATTGAACAGGTACCCGAACCCCATGGAAAACTATCCTTCAAGGTCTCATGAAAATTTTGGTGAGTTCCAGCGCCAGAGGCGTGATGATTATGGGAAAGCCTACAATCGATACTGATTTGGTATTCTTGAATTATATTTGGTAAGTTTCCCTGTTCTCTGGGCAAACTAGAAAATGTAATTTTGTTGTATTTAGCTATCAATTTTTCCGACATATTGTGCATCTCCCATCCAAGTTCATGGTGAGCCTGCCAATTTATAAAAGGAGGCTATTGGGGCTCTGAGATGCAGAAATTTGTTATGATTCTTTTAGAACTCTTAGAAACTTTGCTATATCTCATTATTAAAGGGTAAAAGAGTGGGGTTCTGAGATTATAGGGGCTTTTTGGTTGACTAAAAATGGCACTTTTTGGGTATATTTTTTCCCTTGCTTGGCGGCTGCTTAAATTTCGCTCAAAAAATTTTCAGGGTCCATTCTGGTCAGGGTCAGTAAACATAAGGCAGAGGGAGCTTCAGATCTAGGTAAGTATGTTGTGTTGTGGTTATGGATGTAGAAGAAGAGATTGGTGCAGATTAATTCGTTAGAACAGACTCTTGTTTTTCAGTTTGGTGTAGGCCCTGTTCTGAACTTCTTTGTTGTAAAGAAGCGAAACAAAGTTTCGAACTGTGTTTCTGTGTTATTTCAAAGTTATCGACTCTTTGCTTTCCCGATTTCTCAAACACCATCTTAGAGACTAGTGCAATGCTTGTATCTCTACATCATTATATGCACACGTGCGCGCGCACACACGTATGTAGCTTCCACATATCTTTATGCATTGTCTAGAGCATTCAGCGGCACCGAGCTGCAAGTTGTGGAAATCTTGAGGAATTTGTTTATACTATATGCCACTATGAAACAAGGTAAGGAACTTCTTCATGGGATATTGGGATGTTCAATGCGGAAGCTTCTTTCCTGGTAAGTAGGTTTCAGCATGGTTAGTCCGGGAGCGCTTAACAATTCCACGAATTGCGTCAACCATGCGGTTACGGTTTTAATCCTTATGTTGTTTCACTTTTTATATTCGGGTTGTAATCCAGTTGCCCGATTTTCATTTTCTTTTGAAACCACAAAAGCGTGTGAACTGGCTACGCAATTGCCTAGGCAATATCTGTGTAATTTACAAATTCATTTCCCCTGCGATTGTTCCAAGTTTTGGAATCCTTGGCCGGTGCCTCCAGTTTCTGAAGAACAGATTTTGCAGAGTTTTCCAAGCATCAACATCAAATTCAGTCTGTTATGCCCGTCCCAACAACAAATAATAAACGAAAGGCAAAATCAATTTATTCAATATCTGAAAAAGTCCCTTTTCTCTGTTTTATTGCTGTGGACGTGCATGAGAACTTATTACGTGGCTAGCAAAAAATACAATACTGCCTTTCAAACAAATTCAGCTAATAAACCTTGAATTCTTCAATCCATTGGCACTTGCTTCCCTGCTATATCTATATTACAACTTTGACAACGAATGGCTTAAGTTGTGTACGTAAGTGAGAGAAAAATATTGTAGTAAAAAAGTTAAATTTAAATTTTTGTGAGAGAAAATACTGTAATAATAAAACATGAATTGTTACTTGAGTTGTAAAATGAAGAAAGTTGACGTTTAAGTCTAGGTCTCTTTTCAAAAATAAATAAGTAAATAAGCATAGGCCCTTTTGTATTTCGTATTAATTCCCACTTAGCTGTCGGAACATACCACAAACGATTCATTAACTTATGTAATCAATTACTACCGTCTTAAGATGTTCTAGTAGTCGGATCGACATGTAATTATAACTTTCATATATAAACACAAGTGACCAATATAGTATATGTTCAAGGTCTAAGGAAGGTGAAAGAGCAAGAAAAGAGAGAGTAATTGACATGGTTGTTGACGTATACTTGGTCCCTTTCTCCGGCGAAACCATAGAATCAACAGTAACAAACGATGCTTCCATAATAGAATATTGGATATTGAAAAATGTCAAAATTTTTCAGGAGAGACATAACATCATAGGGCTAAACTGCAAATGGGAGCCTCACCCCATGAATATTATCTCATCATCAAAAGGCCACAATATCTCGACCATGCAGTTCTGCGTGGACACCAAGTGTCTGATTCTCCAACTCTCACACATGAATTACAACGATATTCCTCAATCTTTGAAGAGCTTCTTGAACGACTCTAACAATACGTTCGTGGGAATTGAGGTTGAGGAGCTCGTTTCGACCCTAAAAAACGAGTATGGAGTTTGTTGTAACGAAACGGTGTTTGATCTTCGAGCACTGGCAAAGAGACGTTTCCCGTTAAGCTTCGGCGGAAGACCTGGCCTCAAAACGCTTGCTTATGAGTTGGTGAAACTTCCTGTTTCGAAACCCAACAAGAGGTTTCTTAGAGATTTCAAAACTTTGAATAAGAAGCTTGATAAGGATCAGGCTAAGAGTGCTTCAATTGATGCGTATGCTTCGTACAGAATTGGCCAGAAGCTACTCATGAAAATATGACGATAGGGATGATATACTACATATCGATATGGTTCAATTGATCTTGGTGTACTTCTAACACATTGCAAAATTTATCTTTATAATATTATTGGACCATTCGATCGTATTTGTACTAATTAGTATGTAACTAATGAAGAGTGGGAGTTTTATTTGAACTCTAAATTTCAAATTAATTAGTTGTTTTTCATTATTGGTGCTATGTTTAGAGTTTGTCAACTGGTATGGCTAACACGTTCGTTTAATAATTGTTTCTCCAGCCAGCTTATACGACCTTAAAGTAAAATACCTAAAACAAAATTAGATAATTACCATCATGTTGTACATGACTATATATGTATGTTTACATATATAATGTATCCACATATATATATATATATATATATATATTGCAAATACTAGTAATTTGCCAACACAATAACGCTTGAGATTTCCTGTAGTGGTTGTTGTTAGTTTACTAATCCATCCCAAAAGCTTAAGCTATTAGGAGGTGGGTCAACAATAATTTTATACTTTAATACCATGTTAGTTTACCAATCCATCCCAAAAGCTTAAGTTATTAGGAGGTGAGTTAACAATAATTTTATACTTTAAAAGTTGTTTCATTCCATATTTGAGTCTTGGCTCGGCTTTAGTTGATCATTTGGAGAAAAAAACTAGTTATGACATCAAGAGCAAAAGATGAGGTTGAATTATTGGACCTTGAAAGTGAACGGACTGGTGATGAAGATCAATTAAATACGGCTCTTGGGGAAATATGCAAGTGCAGAATTAATGAGAAGAAGACCAAATTGTCTTGGAAGGCTCAAAAGCCACCAAGGCATCCCAAAGGTCCTTCATTGGATGCTGGTGACTGGACGTTGGTAAGGGAGATTGCGCAACTTCAACTTTCCAAGGAGAAAAAAAGGCCAATCAGCATTGAAAACATAAGCTTTCAAGGCATCATCTTTGAAAATTGGTATATTAGCCATGATCCTTATTTTCTTCTCTCTCTTAATATTTGATTGTAGAATTATAAATTTGTGTTCTAGTATTGGCTTTGGTCTTCATTTTCTCCCTATTTTAACTAGTAATCTTCAATTATAATTTCTATTTTAATTAAATATAGATTATTTTAATATTTTTTTGAATTTAAAATATAAATAACTTTTTTAACTTTTATTTTATGTCAAAACAAAGAATAAATAGCTAGTTATATTTAGTTAGTGGAAAATATTTTAGCTAAAATAGCTAATCATTTAACTAAGGGTTGGAGAAAAACTAAAAAAAAAAAAAGCTAAATCATTCATTATTTTAATTAAAAATATGATATAACTAGCATAATTAGAGTTACTCTAATAGGTTTTTAGCTATTTTAGTTAGAATTTAACTAAAATTTAGAAAACTCCTTCATAGATGCTCTAAATCAACAGGTTAAGTTTAACCTCTTTATTTTATTGTTTCTAGTTTTCCTAATCAAGCTTCCGCTACATATATAGCTACGTTTAGTCAAGACTTACATTCCTACGCATTCCTTAGTTTTTTTTTTTTTTTTTTTTTTTCGTTTCTCAGAATCATGTCGTCGACTCATTCTCTTCATATTGATAAGACAACAAAAATTGAAACAAGCGTTATCACTCATGAAACGGCGCTGGACGAAGCCCTCACATAACTGCTTCGTACGTCGAAAGCAGATTGATCATCACCGAGAAAAGTCGTCGCTTTCGGCGTAGAGAAGTCTTTTAGATCAACATCAAATACTCCAGTTCGTCTCCGAAAACGTTGCTGTATTAATACTCTGAGTAGGAAGTCATTGTCTAATCATACAGCTCATTCATTTCACGACCATTCCCACTTCCCTAGCCAAGTTTCTCAACATGTCTCGTCTGACGTTCGTTGGTCTCAGAATCAAGCACGCCGTGGCAGACCTTCGAAGAGATTATGGTCTTAAATGCAGAAAATATAGTTGAGCTAACAGGACTTCCCAAATGGCGTGATCATAATGCAACTAGTCTTTACGCTTTTTTGTATATAGCATAGGCCGGTAATATAGGTTACAACACGACTAAAAAACGATATGAATTTTGATACAAACGTAAATGGTTTGTATTACAGAGTGCACTCTTTGAGTCAGTGCCAAACTCCTATAGAAAACTCTCCAAAATTCACATAAAAACTCCCCATACAAACAATGGTGTCTTTTATACCCGTTCCCCATTGCCTAAATGGTTTGTATTACAGAGTGCACTCTTTGAGTCAGTGCCAAACTCCTATAGAAAACTCTCCAAAATTCACATAAAAACTCCCCATACAAACAATGGTGTCTTTTATACCCGTTCCCCATTGCCTAAATGGTTTGTATTACAGAGTGCACTCTTTGAGTCAGTGCCAAACTCCTATAGAAAACTCTCCAAAATTCACATAAAAACTCCCCATACAAACAATGGTGTCTTTTATACCCGTTCCCCATTGCCTAAATGGTTTGTATTACAGAGTGCACTCTTTGAGTCAGTGCCAAACTCCTATAGAAAACTCTCCAAAATTCACATAAAAACTCCCCATACAAACAATGGTGTCTTTTATACCCGTTCCCCATTGCCTAAATGGTTTGTATTACAGAGTGCACTCTTTGAGTCAGTGCCAAACTCCTATAGAAAACTCTCCAAAATTCACATAAAAACTCCCCATACAAACAATGGTGTCTTTTATACCCGTTCCCCATTGCCCAGAATCCCAACCACAATTTATTGAATTAAGCAACAAAATAACAGATTGCTAACAAACCGGCTAAGGCTACTCCTCTCGCCCGCGATTTCTCAACGGTTTTTCCCCATCTCGAAATCCTCAAACCAGTCTGGTTTCTTACGCGTCTTTCTCTTGCGTGTTGCGACTACCTCATCTTCTCGAGTCTTCTCGAACTTTCCTTCTGATCCAGCACGTTGAGCTTGAGTTGAAGAAGAGTTGCCTTGGGCCTGGGCTTGATATGTTTCAGCAGCCCACGAGTCTTCTGAGGCCTGAGGCCCAACCCATTTATTTATTTTCTTTTGAATCCAATCCTCCTCCAACTTCAGACCTTCCCACGTTTCACTTCCCTTCCCATCAACTTTGACCTTGTCCTCAAGGTCAGGCATGTCATAGAGCCGATTGAAAGGCTCGAGTGCTTCCTAGGTTGCATCTTCCTGGAGGCTGTGCGACCACTGAACTAGCACCTGCGTGATGGTCTTTCCATGTTGCTGTGCTTCTCGGACTGCCAAGATGGCTGTGGGGTAAATAAGGGGTCTGTTAGCATGGCTCTGCTCTGGCAAGGGAAAGGAAACTATGGAACCATCTCCCTCAAACTCCTTTAACAGGGACACATGAAAAGTGGGGTGAATTTTGCTTTCCAGAGGTAATTCTAGAGTGTAAGCCACCGGCCCAGCCTTGGCTATGATTTTGAACAGTCCGAAGTATCGCCTGCCCAACTTCGAGTGTAAACGCCGAGCTACAGTTGTCTGACGATAGGGTTGGAGCTTAACCAAGACAAGGTCCCCAAGATTGAATTGCTTGTCCTGTCTTTTCCTATTGGCGAGCTGCTGCATCCTGTTATGAGCGTGGTGCAGATTGACCTTCAATCGTTAAAGGATGTCATCCCTAGTGCGTAGGCAATCATCTACGGCCTGGACGGTTGAGGATCCCCTAGTGTAAGCCAGAATAGTAGGAGGTGGCCTTCCGTACACGGCTTGGAATGGCGACATCCCGATGGCGGTCTGGTGGCTAGTATTGTAATGATACTCTGCCCACCCCAAGAAGGTTGACCACTGTTTTGGGTTGTCGGCAGCAAATGCTCGCAGGTACTGTTCCAAATATCGATTCAAGACCTCCGTTTGCCCGTCCGTTTGAGGATGGTAGGCCGAGCTCATCTTCAAACGGGTACCCATTAGCTCAAATAACTTGGACCAAAACTTGCTTGTGAAAATCGGGTCCTTGTCTGAAACCAGCGTCCGCGGTACTCCATGCAACTTAATCACCATCCCAGTAAAGAGTTCGGCAACTTTGGAAGCCGTATAGTAGGAAGGTAGTGGTCCGAAGTGGGCGTATTTCGTTAATCTGTCAACAACCACCAAGATAGACGTATTCCCCTTCGAGTTTGGCAGCCCAACAATGAAGTCCAAGGCTAAGTCCTCCCACACTCTGTCGGGCATCTCCAATGGTTGCAGCAGTCCGTAGGTAGCTGAAGTGGAGTATTTCACAGTTTGACAAGTGATGCACCTCCCCACAAATTCTTTGACATCCCTACGCATGCTTGGCCAGTAAAAATTAGCGCTGAGTCGGATGTAGGTCCGTTCGATTCCCGCATGTCCGCCTATTGGCGTATCATGGAACTCCTTCAGCATTTGCTGCTTGAGCTTGGATTCTTTACCGAGGTAAAACCTGTTTTGGTATAAGAGGACCCCATTTCGCCATTCCCAATCCATATTAAGGACCCTGGTCTCCAGTTGTTGGTGAAGCTTCATCAGTTCAGGGAATGTCTGGTTCTCCTTACGCAAGTCCAACAGGAAATCAAACATCCCTGAGGAAACCGCAACATTGAACTCAGTGTGGGGCACCTCCACACGGCGGGAAAGAGCGTCGACCGCCGAATTCAAGGTTCATGCCTTATATTCAATCGAAAAACTGTACCCCATTAATTTCTGAAGGTAATGTTGCTGCATCGGAGTCTGGATTACTTGTGTGAGGAGGTCCTTCAAACTTTTATGGTCTGTTCTAACAACAAAATGTCTCCCTAGTAGGTATTGGCGCCACTTAGCGATGGCTTCGGCCACGGCATGTAGTTCCCTCATATAAGCCGAAGCTCCCATCATTCTTGGGCCCAACTTTCTACTAAAAAATGTTATTGGGTGCCCGTCCTGCATCAACACCCCTTCTATTCCAACACCCGAGGCATCCGTTTCTACCACAAAGGTTTTTGTGAAATCGGGCAAATGTAGCACCGGTGTTCGAGTCATAGCTTCCTTCAACCTATCGAACGCCTCCGTAGCCGCCTC